AAAACTGCTTTAAGACAGCTTGAAATATAGCACAGCTTAAGTTGAAATAGCTCATTTCGCACAAAACCAGAACATGACACGATCATTTTCAAATAAATAAGCACAACAGAGAACCAAGAGTAAAACTAGATGCTAGAGATCCTGTGTACTTTTTCAAAACATCTTGCACAAACGGGCGAGCTCCTTCGAGAAATATGACCTGGCAGCAGAATTCGCTCGCTCACGCAACGGGGACAAAACACCCGGCCACAGCTCCAACAATGACACTAAAATGAGGTAAAAATAAAATCAATCATAATTAACAATCATAATTCATCCAATTGCATACAAAACAATCGATATCTTTCATACAGTTGCACAAATGAAATTTCGTTAATTCAGTGCCATCCTATGCCATAATGTGGGCCATCCTATGCCATTTGTGCATTTTTTTCGCTCATGAATGCTCTAACGGTAAAGGGAAACAAATTACAAACTATTCTTCCTTCTTCGAACAATTTTACTGTAAATTTTGGATAAAGAAATAAATGGCAAAAAGCCTAACAAAATATATTCCTTAAGTGACGCATTGGGAGCACACGAAAGTGTTATTCACGCTCAGCCCATATCAGCAGTGATTTTTTTTATGCAGAAGAACGGCTGTTGGTTCCGAAAGTTTAAACTGATAAAAATATTTTCACGTTTGCAACATCTCATTCATCATCCTTACCATTAACGGCTTATTTAAGTCTATTTGAAGTAGACAGTACATAATTTTTAGATTATTAACATGTACATAAGTGTACCACGCCTTTACATCAACAGCCAGTACCTTTAACGCAAGTCTAATTTTACGTCTCATTTTAGTCAACTCATCTAAATCGGAACAATCATTGAACAATTTTTTAAGACAATCGGCTGCAAAAACCAGGCGCTAAAATTAGATGAACTTTTAGCAAGTCATCAACGATTTGACAGCATTATTTTGATCTTCGCCCAGTGTCCAGACGAACTAACGAGAAAAAATCAAATGACATACGAAAGTAGGATCCAGTCAAACTTACTTGAAATAAGTCAATTACCATCAACAAATGTGACTACATAAAGTCATCTTAAAAAATGATGGTCAATTGCAAATAGAAGAAAACAACCATGAAAACAGATCCAAATCTAACGTACGCTCGTATTGTGGTATTTAAAAGCTCAATGCCGCTTCATCTAATCTGGATTCTGAAGGATTCTCACGAATTCAGTGAAAAATAGCATATTTTTTGCTTTCTTCTGTTAGTTACAAATAATTGCACCTTACTTAAGTGTTGGTACCGCTAAAGGCTGGATAGATCCTGTTCACTACAGCCATAATTAAATCTAAGTCGATACAGCTGAAAGAAGAGGACGTACAACCCCCGTCGTTTTGGACAAAGTATCAACCGTGGTGAATAAACAGAAGCACAAAAGCGCGATATAAACACCTCTGGAAGACCGAAGAGGTTATCAGTTGGAAAACTGCCCTAGTATTTGAAACCGGAAGTTTAATACCAGTGTGTGTGCCTCCAGTGCTGAACTACGGGTGCAATGCATCTATGTAAGCTTTAAATCTATTACAAGCTACGAACTGGGCTCTAGCACCAAAAGCAGATTTCTGAACGATAAAAACAAATAGGACGACAAGCAAATGCATCATGGTACAAAAGAGGATCTGCGATGTACTTGCAAGATCGAACAACTCAATATAACAATGTACAAAACATCACAGAAGAGAGTAAAAGATCAGTGCGACGAGTTCTAGATCGATAAAAAGAAGAACTTAAGAAATCTGCTGCAAAACGTGGAGAAAAGCAGCAGGAGAGAGCTCAGTGGCAAAAGTTTTGTCAAGTCTTCATCAGGCAATGAATTGAAATGATAAGGAGGACGATACTGTGATGATAGTGATGGTGATCATGCTGCTGATGATGATGTGGTAGCGACTGTTATTCCGCATAAACATCAAAAACAGGTTTGT